TGACATTCCCAGCGGTTTCGGCAGGGAGCTGCGGAATGTCTCCTGTTCCTGCCGGGGCCCACCTGAACAAGACAGGCATTGATGGAGAGCGTTTGGCTCAGCCACACACAGACAGGGAGGGCTCTCTGGTTTGGTCCCTGACCCCACAGGGGGAAGAAATAACAGGAGGTGAATGGTAACATCAAACAGAGCCTGGCCCGGCTTTCATCTCCCCGGCACGGTGTGGAGGTGGGGCAGAGAGAAGTCGAGGCTCTGGGGCTTCTGTGTGGGGGAGCCATGTCCTGCGCAGTGCCAGTGCCTCCAGCATCCTACACCACGTAGGCTGGTGGTGCAGGACAGAAAGGCCCCGAGATGCTGCGAATTTGGCCAGTGCAGGTAGCCAGGTGGCCTCTGCCTGTTGCAGGAATGTGACAGCCCCTCCCAGCCTTGTCCCACAGGCATCCATGAGCAAACTGGCTGTGGATGTTCATGCAGGGCCTGTTTGTGTAGGAGCAGAGGTTGCACGGTTGTAGAGAGCTCCCTGTTGTCCTGTGTGTGCTGTGTGTACACCAGGTTGCCACAGAAGCCTGTGGCAGTGTGGTTTCACCCCGGGGCACAGGCATTGCCTTCAGCTGCTCTGGGTGTTGGCTCTCTGCGGAGATGGTGCCCTCTTGGAGGAGGGCTCTGCCTCATGGGGTTTCTCAGCCCTTGGGTCGCCCTCCATCCACCCCGGGGCACTCGGCAGGCAGCTGGAGCCCGGGGCCCTGCTGAGCTGTGCTTGTCCTGAGCTGCCACTGTCACCAGCAGCCTGGCTGGGGCCACCCATGCCCGTGAGTGACTGCGGGTGCTTGTCTCCCAGCAGAGTATCCGCAGGGCCCAGTCCCCACCCTCTGGAACGAGCCACCCGAGCTGCCCTCCGGAGCTGGCCCCTTCGATGCTGCCACCACCGCAGCCCGGCTCTCAGATGCCACTGCCTTCCCCCCGTACACCTCCGAGCTGGAGCCCGAGGACACCACCCACCTGCACCGGCTGGATGCCGGGGATGGTATGTGGCTGCGCAATGGGCTGCCTGTGGGTTGCTCCCACAGCAGCCTGGCAAGTCCTCGCTGTGGAGTTGCTCTTTATGGGCCTGTCACCTCCCAGGAGGTGTTTGAGCTACCAGAGGTGGCCTGTCCCCAGCCACACTGCTCTGGCAGGGGGCTGACAAGGCCTTTCCTCCTGCCCTGGGTCTAACACGTCACAGCAGGCACCAGCAAGAAGTGCCTCGAGCCCAGGTAGGCTCCAGGGTGAGAGCGTGCTCTTTAAATGGGGAGTGTGAGCCCCTTCCTGGCTCCTAACTACAGCAAATACCTGTTGTGATGCGGTTCTGCAACAAGCAAAGCAACTCCCTCGGTGCAGGTGTAAGAGGAAAGCCGAGTGCCAAAGAGCCGCTTTGTGGTAGCTGTCCTTGTCACCAGGAGCTGGCTAAGGGCCGAGTGGCTCGCTCCAGCCCCTTGCACAAGGATGCGATGCCACTGGGGTGCAGGACCACACCTTGGCTGTGTGGGAACATAGGAACAGGGCCACCATGACCATTGCAGGGAGCTCCAGGGCAGGAATGTGCCCCGATGGCTGGGGATGTGCTGGGTTTGGGGGGTAATCCCATAGCCCTTCCCATCTGGGACCCACAGACTCTGCTGACCTCATGCCATCTTGTTCTCTGTCCCTGCAGGCTCACTGGGGCCCGGAGCTATCGGTGCCATTGTCATCGCCTCCCTCCTGGGTACATCTGTGCTTGTGGCCTTGGTCGTCATCACGCTGAGAAAGTTCTCGGCCTCCTGAACTCAATAAAAGTTTTTTCTGTAACACAACCAGCCTGTCTTCTGCCCTCAGCTGCTCCTGCTCCCCATCGGCCTGGGACCCCCTGGGGAGACATGTGGCAAAGGGCACTCCAGCCTCTGCGCTGGGCAGCAAAGCTGCACCCCAGAGTGCTCCTTGCTCTTAGCATGCGGATCCCCTGGGTGCACGCAGACCTGGCAGGCTCGACCACAGCAGGCAGTGTCACCCCTGCAGTCAGGAGGGACCTGCAGCAGTGTCTGAGCTGGCAGCAGCTCTCTTGGTCTAGCCTGCATGGCAGCAACGGTGTTGGATATCACCTTGCACAGCTTTCCTTGGGAACGGGTTGTTCAGTTCATGTAAACCACCCCCATACTTTCCTGGTCTCACCCCACCCCATGTTTATGTTCAGCTCTACTTCCACCCCCTGTGTTTGGGTCAGTTGCCCCCCACCAGTCACAATGGAGGGGACTGGGGAGGAGGCGAGCGGTTGGTATGGGGGGAGGAAGAAGACACACGCGTGTTGCTTTGGCGCTGGCTTGCTCAGCTATATTTCATCACACAGAAAAACGAGACAACAAGAACTTCCCCTCAGTTCGCTGAGGCAACCCGGTGGGGGCTGGGGGGCTCCAGCCCATGCTTGTGGGCCCCAGGCCTGGCCCTGTACAACACTTGAGACCACTGAAACGGAGGCGTGCAGGGCTGGGTCTGAGGAAATAACACTGGATGCCACTTGGTGCCTGAAAATGGCACAGCCTGTGCCTAGGTTCTGGAGTCCTAAAAAGTCGTAACAGAGCAAGAGGGTCTGGGGCATGGGACGGTGTACAGCAGCCCTGGGCCCCTCTCCCCCCAGAAAAACGCAGTGAGGAACCAGCGTCCTGGCACTAGGGAACCTGGGTCAGCCCGTCCACTAGCAAAAGAGCCGTTTCTGATGGGTAAGGGAGCATTTCTGTGCCTTGAGAAACATCCCAGGCGGGTGTGTGGGGCTGTAGTGCCTGGGCTGGGCTGGCCACTGTGCTGTGAAGCTGGAGGATCTGGATGTGGCGATTTCTCAGGTAATTTTAAGGACTCCTACAGCTGGAGCTTCTCTGGGTTTTGCTATAGAGAATTTCTGGCTGCTGCAAGGTCTGGACCCTGAGCTGGAGGTTTGGTTGTACTCAGAAAGCCGACTGTGGGGTGCTGTTGGGGGGGATCTGACTTGAGGTCTCCCCATTAAACGATCTCAAAGCACCAGACTGGAGGCTGTGGTCCCTTCCTGGCCCCCTGCTCCAGGCTGGGCGCTGGCAGGTGGCTGGGAGCCTCTAGCTGGTGCAAGCTGCCCACGGGCCCTCTCTCAGGAGTGCTACAGGTGGCTGGGGCAGGCACAGCCCTGCTGGCTGTTGTCACGTGCTAACATGGTGGCGTGAAGCTAGGCCTGAGGGGGGAACCCCTTTGCTCTCCCTTCACTGCTGTGGCTCCCACCAGTTTGGTCCTGGGGGCTGGCTGCAGCCCCCCCTAGTGCAGGGCTGACTCCAGGCCAGCTATCCCAGCGCTGTGGTGACAGTATGGACAGCCCCAAGGACAGCCCCGGCCCTCCCTCAGCTGGGTCCGGCCTCACGCCACACCCCCACGTGTAACCTGGGCCCCATGTGGCCCAAAGACCAGCTCCAGCACAGCGCTCCAGAGCCCCCCTCCAGCGGCTCCCCAGCATCCTGCTTCCTCCCCACGCTGCCATCAGCATAGCCGTGCTCCTCCACTCTGTGCGCATGGCTGGTGCATGGCTCTGTTGGCAGGCGGCTGCTCTCCATCCCCTTTTTGAGCACAACCGTGGCACCGCTGGAGCGTACAGCAGCACAGGCCACGGCGCCTGGAAGACTCTCCTTTGCAGTATTACAGAAAGATGCCAAATAATTGATTTCCCTGATGGACACTGGCCACAGCTCAGGACCAGCCTTTAGCTAAGAGGCCCTCGGCTGCAGCCATGTGTGGGACTGTTCAGAGCGAGGCTGTTGATCAACAGGCAGCTGCCGTGGATCTGTCCCCTGGCTGGTCTCAGTGCCATGCCCTGGGCTTCATGCGATGCTCAGTGCCACAGCTGGAAGGATGATGATCTGGCTCTGCTGGAGGCAGGATTTGCATATATACATGGAGGTGAGCCTGTTCGTGCGTGCAGGTTGTGCACACAGCTGGGTGGTGTGGGTTACAAGCATGCAGGCAGCGATCGCTGGGCCTCCCACAGCACATGGGACAACAGCTCCTGGGGTAATGTCACTCGCCTGCTGCATGGCAGCCTGGGTCTGCTGGTGCTCCCGTGGTACGTGGTGGTGTGCGGGGAGGCACTGGCACAGCCACCCTGTTCTGTGCCTCGGCAGCAGTGAGTAGCGGAGACCGCAAGTGCCAGATCAACCAGGAAAGGCCATGGTGCCAGGCTTCTGCAGTGGCTCTGCGGAGGGATTGCTGGCTATGGAAGAGGGGGCGAGTCATGGGGCAGGGCCCAGATGTGCTTCGAGGCCATCAGGCGGGCAGAGATGTGGGTCAGGGCTAGCGAGGTTGGGCTGCTGGTGGAGCAGGACTGGGTATGGAGCATTTCAGAGCATTTGACTGGAAGCGGATCAAGGGTCTGCCTGTGGGAACAGGCCCAGTGGCTTCACAGCAGGACTGGGGAGGTGGAGTTCCTGGGGCTCATCCCAGCTTGGTGCCAACGGGCTGTGTGAGAGGCGGCAAGACAGCTCCTCTGCTTCAGTTTCTATCCCTGTAAGTTGCTGCTTTAGGAGGGCCCCAAACTCAAAAGGTAGCAACGAGCTGTAAGTGCTCAAAGTGGGCAACATTAATTGCTTAGTTACATTTGTGGCCACCTGCCTCTTCCAAGCAGCCTGAGCCAGCCCCAGCTAGCATGTGTGCAGGGAACAGGGGTCAGCTGGCCAGCACCTGGTGGCCTTTGGGCTGTGTCCGTTTGGCTCGTGCTCTTTGGGGCTTTACAGAACACCTGGAAAGGGGTTATTTTAGCCAGTTCGAAGCACTGATCTCCAGGAAAGGATCAGTGCCACCAGAAGCATGGCGGGGAGCCCAGGAACTACAGTCTGTTTGTTTAGGGGTGCTTGTGCCTGGTCTGGCACACCAGGTCCTGCACCATGGCCCACAGCACCACCGCCACATACTCCCAGCTGGTAGCCTCTGTCCTCTGCCCCTCTCCCAGAGGCACTCCAGATGCTTGGGGATGCCAGCGGTCATTGGCGGTTTCTGCTGCCCAGTTTCCTCCGCTGACTGTCATCTGACTTGTGCACCCGGAAACACTCCTTCAAGTTCTGGGCTCGGATTTTGGGGTTCAGGATCTCCTCCCCCATAGAACTGGGGAACCAGCCCCTCTCCTGGTCGTGAAGACGCTCCCCAAATATCCAGCCTGAGCAGAGACAGAGACAGGCATAAATGGGGAAGGACTGGCCCTTGCTCCTGCACTGGGACAGTTGTGCTAGAAAGAGCCTACGGAGCTGGCAGTGCTTTCTGGAAGCTGCTCAGAGGCCTGTGCTGGAGTGGACCCAGTTTGTAAATCTAGCCAAGGAGGCCCGCTTGCCTGAGCAGCACTGTGTTTGGACAACTGGCTCAAAGGATGCCAGCAGAAAGCAGGCACTGCTGCCACTGAGTGCTCTCCACTGCCCCTGGTGCTACAGGAGCGGTCCCTAGCAGAGACACAATGTGACCGAGACCACCAGCTACAAGCATGCCCCAGAGACCACGACCAGGTGGCTGCAAAGCATCATCAAGGTAAGAACAGCTCTGGGTTACATCTGGGGTGGCTGTGCCAGCCCTGCCACGGCCCACAGCCGGCACCAGGGTAGCTGTGCCAGCATTGTCACAGCTCAGGGCAGCCTAGATTTGCCGAGTGTTAGGAGGAGGCAGTAACTCTCTCTTCCTGCTGTGAGCTCCCTCGGCTGCGATGCCGATGCTGGGGTCTCTCCCTGGCCGGAGGGACCCTCCTGTCTGCTCGGCAGTAGCCTGCCTAGAGCAAAGCCCACCCTTCCACAGGTACTCCCGGCCCATCCCCATCCCATCCCCCGTACCGTCGTCTGTCTTGTCCAGGATGTTGAGGACATCAGCCAGTTCTAAGGACAGCTCATCTGGCTGCTGGGCCACGTATGGGTGGACACACTGGATCTGCGGGCAGTCTGCCAGGGAACAGAGCAAGAGTGAGGGATGGACTGGGATGGAGCCTGCCGCAGGATAGCGTGGCTCGGGTGGGTGTAGCACCACAACCTCTGCGAATGGTCCCTCTGATCTGGTAAGAAACCCCGCGGAGGCCAAGGGGTGCCCCAGCTACAGGGACCGGGGGACCATCTCTGTGGGGAAGGGAGCCGGGTGCACATCACCACCACAGTGCCACCCATGAGCAGCTTGGGTGGAAGGGAGAGTGCTGGTGCAGCCCAGCCCAGGTTGAAGGGGAGAAAGGTCAGGGCCAGGCCCAGAGACAAGTGGGTATCGATGGTGGAAATGCAAGGGAAGCCCAGGGAGAGGGTTCAGCTTCGGCAGAGGCCCCAGGCCTGGGGCTGAAGTGACATCAGGGCAGAATAAGGTGCCCTGGGGTAGGGGCGAAGAACTCCTGGCTCCCATGCTGTGTCTCTTACCAACAAGTCTGGATGTAAATGAAACGAACTTGGTTCTCCGGTTCGGGGCTAGTGAAATCATCCAGCGCTTCATTTCGCTCCTGGATAGGGGAGACAAACAGAGGCCGTGAGCACGAGACAGTCGTAGGGGTGGCTGAGCAGGAGACCTGGGGTCCCTGAGCTCCTAATTCCTCCTCTCATAGCCCTTTCCTGCCTGCCCCCCCCGGAGTCCTGGACTCACTGGTGATGCTGAGCTGCCCTCTTGCATATGCCAGTTGGGATGTCACATATGCCATAGTGCCCTGGGCCCTGCTGCACAGGCCTGGGCAGGGCCACCAGGCTGGCTGTCCCCACAAGCAGCAGGATCACCCTCTGGGGAACAGCATGGCTTCAGAGAGCCAGCAGCAGGGTGGGGGGCCTGGCATCCTCTGAGCTCTAACCAGCAAAGGCAGCTCCTGGCTGTGCTGGGTCAATAGGAGCAGTTTTTCCTGGAGAAAAGCAGTTAGAGGGACCATTTATTCCCACAGCTGCTGTGCGAGAATGTTTAAAGGGCAGAGCTGATTAATTCACTTGCAGACGAACACTGCAGCCTATCAAGGGTACCGCTCACTTCGCAGCGGATGAGATGAGAGACTCGTGTGAACATGTCACCAGATCCAGCACGCTGTTATGCAAAACCTGGGCCTGCAGCAGGAGGGTGAAGATTTCACAGGTGCTGGAGAAGCCTCAGGCCTGGTGCTCCCTTGAGGCTTCCCTCAGTCCCACTTGGAAACAGGGCAGTTCATCTTCACAGGCTCCAGCTCCTGCCTGGAGGACCAGCTGTGCTCCCAGCCCCAAGAGAGCCAGAACTTTCTACCTTCTCAGATGGTAGTTTTAAAGCCTGAACTTGACACACATCTAAAGCCACCGGAGCGTCTTCTGGGAGGAGAGAGGCCTAAAAGGGAGAGGTGAAGGATGAGTGCTGGCAGGCTGATCTGCAGGGCTGGGAATACCTTGTGTTTCAGGGCTGAAGCACGATGCCAAGGACCAGTGAAAACACCTGCAGCTGCCGGTCAAGTGCAGCCCCTCATGCCATGAAGATGTGCAGGATGCGGGCCCTGTGCACTGAGGGGGTTGGCATATAGAGATCAAACCAAAGGTCTTGCCATGCTTGTGGCCCTATCCACAGGCTGGCCTTGCACACAGCTCCTTGCAGGGCTCTTTAGATCCTGCCCACAGCCCACAGCTCCTCTCAGCCTGTGATGGGCCCAGCTGCGCTCCAGTCCTGCCCCTGCAACCAGCTGTGTCCAAATGTACTGCCAGCTCCTGGCAAAGCCCACCCAGGGCATTAGCTGCAAGCTGCCACCACGCAGGGTGTCATTGCTGTATGGGTTCAGAGCTGGGCAATGCTGCAAGAGCTGTGGAACAGATGCAGCAGTCTCTGTTAGGCACCCACTTATCTCTTCTAATTCTTCAGTTTTCCAGTTTGTGCACGGTACTGCCTCGATCATCCCTGCAGCTCTGGAACAGCAGTCTTCAGCAGTTGCTACATCACATTTCAGTGCACAAGACCTGTTGGCAAGCCATGTGCTGGATCACACACTCACTGTGGCCATCTAGAAGATGGGACAGGATGCAGAAGCACAGAACTGCAATTGCCTCCCCTGAGCTGAGGCAAGCCCTGGCCTGGTTTATCATTCTCTGCACAGCTAAGTCTCACAGACGTCAAATGTGCGCTTGCCCTGCATAATGTGACTGACATCTCTATTTTCAGTCAGCAGCAAAGCTGCAGTCACGTGTCTGGGGAGAAGGTGCAGTTGCTCGCTGTGCTGGTGGCTCGTCTTCCCAATGCCAGTGCTGCACTGTGCTGGGGGGGTCAGGGTGCAGCCCCCAGGGCTGCAGCAGCACACGGTCCCAGCGGGGGCTGGTGTCCATTAAGGGATATGGATGTCAAACACTGGCCTACTGACAGCAAAGTAACATCAAGCTGGGGGTGCACATCATCTCTAGTAGCTGTTTAACTGGTGGGACACATACACCTGTAATAGCACAGATGCTGTGCCTAGAAAACATGGGCCTGGTAAGGCTTGGGTTGATGAGAAAGCCATGCCCTGAGCTCCAAAACAATCATGTCTGTGTTGGCACAGCTGAATCGTTTGCCCAGTCTGAGCTTGTCAGAGTCTGAAGTGAAAAATCAGCGAGCCAAAAAAACCCTGTATCCGGGGAGACAAGGAGGCCCCGAGCAGCAGAAGGGCTGTGCAAGATCAGCATCAGCTGTGGAAGGCGCTGAGGAAAAGGCCTCTTCTCCACCTTTGCCTACAAGCAGGAGCCACTTTGCTTCACAAGGCTGGTCAGGCACAGCCTTGATCTTTGCGAGTGAGCCAGCTGAGCCGCTGGAGTGTGCACAGTGTACATCCTACTTGCTTTTACTTTCTGAATGTGCTACGGGCTGTAAATCAGTTAGGCTCCTGTGCCGGGGCTGATTTCTGACCTCTGTCCCAGAATGCAAAGTGCCCCTCCATCTTCCACCCCGGATGCTACAAATACACCATACAGAAGAGAAACCTGTCTAGTTCACTAGTACCTTTCAGTAGGAGAGACCTAAGGTGGCCTCAGGAGAGCCATCCTGGGCAGAGAGGTTTGTAGGGCCAGCCCAGCTGCAGCAGTGGGACTTCTGCCTGCCTGACCCTGGTAAGCCCAGAGAGCTGGCCCCCATGCATGCAGGGTGCTGCCCTTGCATGGGTGTAGGGAGAGAGCAGTGCTGAGCACTGGCAGGGTGACTGTTGTACTCACTGGGACGATGCCTTCAGCATGTAGCTGGCCTCCCGGTCATCTGCGTTCTCCAGCAGCCTCAAGATGAAGACATTGGCCAAACTCTGCCCCTGGTCTTCTAACTCCTCTACCCGAAGAAGCCCCCGGGGAGCCGAGTCAAACACTTGGTACTTGTCCCTGGGAGAGGTTAGAGGATTAGGAAAAACTGCAGTTATCCCAGGAGACTTTGGCTTCAGCCACCCAGAACTGTACTGGGGACACAGACCAGGAACCTCTGCATGGCAGGAGGATAAAAGATGCCCTGCTGTGGGAACAGATGAGTGAGTGGCTATGAAAACCCACCACAAAGCAAGAGACCCTCTCCTTGCTCTGCCTTAGGCATCCCGCATGCTCTAGAACAAGTTGCTTGCTCTGTCTGAGCTCCCCACGTACAAAACACAGACGGTGCTCCCTCAGAGGGGACTGTGAGGCTTAATTCATTCCTATTTGTAAAATGCCTCTGTTTTCTGGATACCAGCTGCCGCAGAAGCAAAATATTTCTAGGCGTACAGACACTGAGGCAGCATGTTTATTAGAAATGTTGGACTAGCGAGATGCTCTCTACTGGTGAGTCTAGTTAATACTACAAAGAATGCGCTGTTCTCTGGGACCTGTCTGTTTGTGCTGCTGTGTTTCACTGGTGTCTAGCAGCACAAGACATAGTGCTAAGCATGATGACATTCTCCTCCTCCTGAGCCAGGTTACACCATGTCAAATATAACCGCTAGCCTCAGGCCTAAATTTATACCCCTCCCTGCTGCTCAAATTTTCTAGCCTGCTTTCTCAGAAGTTTAACTAAGTCTGAGCTGTTCTTCAGGCAGTGATGAGTCAAAAATCACCTCTTGACAGGAAGATAGGCCTCCTGGGTCAGCCCACCAGTTGATGTAGCTCACTGCCACTCTGCAGAAACTGGTGGATACATGCTCGCTTACCCTGCTGGGAGACCTGGCCTGGAATCTGTTTCAAGTCCCGTTTGCCATAAATTCTCAGCTGGAGAGAGCTGTGCCACCCATGAAGAGTCAACTGTGCTCAAAGGCAAGGTGTCTGCTGGAGGCAGGTGTACAGGTCAGGCCAGGATGCCCTCCCTGTGCCTGGGGACAGGGTGGGGGCACAGCATCACAGCTTGGATAAACCCAGGGGCAAATAGGACTAATGAATTGCCCTGCGTACTACCTGAATTTTGCACTCACCCAGGAATTTGCCGGCAAATTACCAGCAGATCATTGAAAAGGAACAAGTAGATTTCTCTGAAGAGTTTCTTGGTGCGAAGCGTTCGTGATGTCTTTGGACCATTCATTTGCTGCAATTCCCCCTGCTTCAGTAGCCAGCGGGAGTGAGAGATGATGGGCACAGACTAGAAGTGAGGAAAAGATGGCAAAGATCAGGAGAGCAGCAAAAACCCATGGGCTTATGTGGTTAAGATGCTGAAAGCAACAGGAGATGCAGAAGGAACGGTAGTCAGCCCCCGTTACCACAGCTGGCACTGCTGAAGATGGAGCAGAGCTGGACAGAGAGGTCAATGTGCTCTGCCATCCACACCAGAGCCCAGCACAGAGTGTAACAGAGCTCAGACAGGGACACAGCAGGGGCCTGAGAATGAACAAACACTCAAGGACAGCGATGCTGGAGTGCCAAGTGCTGGATTTAAACACCAGGCTACGCCCTGCACAGCCTGATCTGTATCTGGGAGATCCCATGTCTCATCACCTGGGCTAAGCCTTTCTGGCCAGGGAGACTGACTTTCAAAAACGTGTATTTGGCCTTTTGGCTACAAAAAATCCAGGTTAAACGGGTTCTCACTGGTTGGGTCTGTCCCAGTCAGGAGGAGATACTGTCCACACAGCCACAACAGCACTTTTGCTAGAGTTTTACCACACATTTGTGTTAAAAACAAGAAGCCCAGAACAAAGCACGTCTTGTAAGAACACTACACTTCCAGTCAAATGACTGAAATACTGGAAAATACTTGCATAACTGCTACTCTTTCCACATTCAGTCCCTCCCTGTGTTTGACACATGCATGGTGGCACAGTCTTTTTCACACTCTTGCACTCTCTTCACCAGAGGAGCCCTGTCTGCACCAGTGCCCAAGGCAGACCTGCTCCAGGGATGAACCAGCTCCTGCCTGTCACTACAGCCTCAGCTTTACAAGAGATGAAGGCAGTCTTGTGGCTACCCCAATCGACTGCTGTCCTGTGGACTGTGGTCTAGCCCTGACACACTGGTAAAGTGCTCCGGAAAATCAAATTCTTGGGCACCCAGTGTAGCTTTCCAAACAAATTGTCTCAAATTTTTTCGCTTCAGTTGTCCAGGTACGTAAAAAGATTGCTAGGAAGCTAAATATGCTCCTTAAAGTTTGTGAAGCAGACAGATCTGAGAAGCATCTCCATAGTACTCAAAAGAATTGGCAACTTTATACTCAGCACTGGAGTTTCATGGCATATATTAAATGACCTGGTCAGACACCCCTAAATATTGATTAAGTCATTCCCTGAGTGGAGCCAAAATAGGTCATCAGCAGGTAATTAGAGACTGTACATAACGCATAAATGCAGGGATGAATTAAAATGGTGCGACAGTCTTCATTTTAGTATTTTCCAGCTTTGAAGTGTTTTGTTTTGTAGCTTTCATTTTCCTTTAATGTCATTTGTAATGTAAAATAATAGCTGAAAGCTGACCTGCATTTTGAAGAGAGGTGAGAAGGAACTGAGTGCTGGAGCAGAAGCCTCCCACTGCGCACAGGCAGTTTGATATGAGCGTGTCACATCTGTGTACACGGACAACACACTGGCCTCAGTGCTGTCCCCAGCCTCTGCAGCATGCGTGCACGATCACATGGACAGATGCAGTGCCTGCAGCAGCAGCATCCCCTTCAAAGGCTTTGGAGGGGGACAGCGTGGACCAGGCCACCACTGAACACTCACTAAAAGGAGTGCAACTAGGTTACTACTGCCATGTATGTGTGCACAACACCTGGATACTGTTGGTTCGCTGTCTGCAAAGGGTTACCAGCCTATGCTTATACCTTGATCTTGAATTCCAGTTTCTTCTGGATGCTGATCATCTGCTCTGTTCGGCTCATCTTCCTGACACCTTCATTACATGCTTTCACCACCTAGGAAAGAGAGAGTAGAAAGATTTGCCTCCACTGGCCTTAAGCAGGTAAGTGATAATGGACAGCACAGAAAGGCCTGACCATGACAGGGTAAGTGCCCTGCCGTAACAATAATTGACCAAGCCAAGCTCTTCTGTCAGCACTGTATTTGCATGAGAAGAGAGAGAGAGAGAGAGAGAGAGAGAGAGTGAACCCCCCCAGAAGATGTTATAGCTGGAAGCTAACTATCAGAGGACATGTTAGATGGCTGCATTCAGTTACTGAACCATTAAGCAACACTCCTGATTGCACAGCAAAGGGAACAGTTCATTTGCCAGATTCTGACACACCATGTATCTCATCTTTCTTGTCCCCAACATTTGAAACAAGGTACACGCGCAGTATCATCTTCAAGAAGAGAATGAAGCCAAAGATCCTCATTTCAAAGATGCAAATGCTGTGGTTCTGCCAAGCAGCACCAGATGCCAAGGCTATGAAATGTCCCGGGGAAAGAGATGTTCATCATACAGAGCCCAGCTGTGTTCTGAGTACAAACTTTTAACTGAAAAACCACAACCAACGTGCAGGCACTACCCTATTACAGGGACCTTAACCTAGATGCCACTGCCTGTTTTATAAGGAGCAACTCTCTTGAGAACTGGCTAGGTAGAAAAATCATGCTGGAGAACAAGCTCCGCTTTGTGCTCTGTTTCTGCTACTCAAAATCTACCAGAATAACAGCAACTGAAACAGCGATCAGTTCCTACCTATCAAATAGGATACCTATAAAGAAAACAAGCACCAGATGGTCTCTGTTGTGATGCCTGCACCTAGCTGGACATTAGGCATCTAAACTTAAACATTTTCAGATAACTAAAAAGGGAGGATAAGCAAAGGGAGTTATGAAAATGATCACATGAGTCACTGACAGCTGAATATAAAAAGAACATTTTTCCATCAGCAGTTGTAGTCATCTGCATACTACTGGAACCGCTTTCCTCAGGCTTTTGACTAATGGAAAAACAATTGGCTACCAGATATATCATGAGGGATTCTGCAAATACTAACTAATGCAGAACATTCTCCATTGCTAAGGTCTCTGTCTTTATCCCTAGCGATCTCCAAAGCGTACGCTTCCTAGACTACTTCAGGGCAAATCCAAGAGCCCATTTTGTTCTAGTATTTCAGTCAGAAGCTGCAACCGTATCCTCAGGCTGACGTTCTAGCACAGTTTTCAACTTCAAATACTTATATTGAACTGCAGGATTCAAGAGATGTTCCAAGCTTCTGATGGAGAAGGGTTCAAACACTCTGTCCCAGCCCACGTAGCTGCCAGCTATGTCCAGATCATTCAGATATGTAGTCTGGAGATGGGATCGCCCTGTCTGACAGTGTCAGGAACAGCCCAGATGGAAAACATCCTGATGCCTTCCTGGTGTTTTGTACACAGCAGTAACTAGCACAACTGAACACCACACCTACCTACCAGCTTCAGGGAAGAGGGCTAAAAGCAAGCTTGAGTACTTCATTAAGAAACTGTTATTCTAGGTCAGAGGAAGAAGTGTGCTGTATTGGAGGAAACCTGACACAGTTGTACTCTATTGCCTGTTGCAGCTAATTACATCTCTCAGTGGGATCCGTCACCTTCAGGTATCTGCAAAAACAATTTGTATTTGTGAAGACCCCAAGGGAAAACATTCTCTCTGCCCCTTCCTACAGCGGAAACATACACATCTGTTGTTAGCAAGTGATTCCTCATCACTGACATCTAAGTGCTGCTAGATTAGTCCATCTTGGAGAGCAAGGAAGACTTAAGAAAAAAAAATTACTCAGTGACAGGATTCAAAGGGACAGCTCCAGGAATGAATATAGTTTGTAGGTCTTTTCTTGGGGGGGGGGGAATGAGCACAATGGTTTAATCTTAATGGCCTTCAGTTAGCTCATTCAAACTTACTGTTTCCAGCTCTTTATGTGCATCCAGGGCAGTGGTTTCCCTGTCAGACTTCTCTTCCACTTTCTTCAAAATATTCTGCAGGGGAGGAAAGGCTGTGTTAACTCTGATCCCAATCTGACAGCACAGAAAAGTCTTTGCTAGCCTCAGAGTTATTTCTGGCCATCAGCCTAATTACAGGATAGGTGACAGAGTACAGTGACTCTCACCTCCTAGTTCCTCTTTTTCATTAAAACTTGTTCCCATCTGACCTTGTATCTAAAAGAAATATAGCAGGCAAACTCCTATTTCATAAAAATAAATGAATAAATAAAAATAGCTAGAGCTGGCACTAACAGTCAGTGCTACTGGTAATCCCAGTGGGATAAGACCACTTGGGACTGAGCTGTTTCCTCATCCCTAGAAGCATGTCTTCCAGCACAGTGTTTAGACAAGCTGGCAAAGCACAAGGGGAAGATGGCTGACAGAGTCTGGTCCAAGCCACCATGATGCAGAGTATTACACATGGAGCATTTCCATGTTCTGCAGCTGTTCTGCACTATACATCTGCCTGTCAGCATCCTAACCATCAGACAGCTGGGTTGATGGACGGTTGCTACCCCTTCTAGCAGCTCGACAAAGTTCCTCAACTCTTTTGCTCAGTAAAAGCTATCTGGCAAATTCAACACTAACTTGGGGATGGTTTCTGAGTGACTGAAATCTTTTTTCTATAGTTGTTGAGAATGTCTGATTCTATGGAAAGGCTTCACCCAGCTCTAGGGTTGATCGTGGCTGTATCTAAGCCTCATTCACAACTGATCTAGAAGACCTTTGGGAGGGATAGAAGAGCAAAACTCTACCTGCACCAGCAGCTTGAGCCGAGTGATCCTTTGAAACGGCAGAATCAGGAAGGAAGAAAAGGACAGGCCTTTGCACTTGGGATCCAGCTCCAGCTGTGAGATCACTTCCCGGAAAGCTGGCTTGTCCTGGCTGAGAGGAGAGAGAGAGAAGGTGAGGGCTTTGAGTGCTACCCTGCCTGCGACTCTGGTATGTGGCTGGTGACCCAAAAGCAGCTTGGTTCCAGAGACAGCATCTGCCTGGCCTCTCCCAATAAGAGAAAAGAGGGGAGGAGGGGACTGAATGCTTCTAGGTGTATTTTAGTTTAACTCTAGAACTGTTTATAGTGTCGGTGGAGGGAAAAAATAGACTTTTAATGTACAAGCCATGGTAGTGTTCACATGTGTTAGCACATCTAGCTCAGCAGCATACGCTGTGTGCGTAGGTGTGTGTGAATGGGGTGTGTGTTCAAGTAGATGAGTCAGAGGCATAATTATATATTTTTACACAGTTGGATCTCTGTGACAAGGTGAAATTCACACAGTCATAAGAACAAGACAAGCCACAAAACAGCTCAAGCTTGGCTACTCCTGCCTGCTTAGCCGGAGGATGGAAATCATTATCTGGCCTGAGAAGGGCATGGGCCATGCCTGGGCTTTCTTTGATGGTGTTTCCAGCAGATGAGGGCATTGCTGGGCCATGGACACAGCTGCACAGAGCAGCCTCACAAGCCCCAGCTGCCATAGTCAAAGACAATGCCTCTTGGCAATTGTGGGGCCTTGAGGAAAGCTTACATTGCTGGAGTCCTGGCTAGCAGAAACAGCATGGATGAGAAGACATTGCGAACTATACGAAACCTATCTTTACCATGTGTGACTTGCAACGATCCAAGAGAAGCCATTGTAAGCGTTTCTCCCTGCTGCAGCAGGTACTTGTGTGATGGTGTGACTCACCAGAGCCACAGCAGAATGGACCTGCATGTGTCTGAGGAACAGCCAAATGGGGTGAACTGTGACACAGCTCAGGCTTCGAGTTCAGCCAAGTGCTGCAAAATTCTTGTGCTAACCAGGAGCCTGTGGAAGGGAGTCTGTTCTTTTCAATTTGCTTTAGGTTCTCCCACAGACAAAAAAAATCCTGATCTCTGAATTAATATCTAGGAATACCTCTATCTCCAACAGGTCCTTTTCAAGCTCAAGTAATCCAGCCTATTGCTGCTTTGCTTCTGAGTGTTTAACTAATGGCTCTAGGCAAACTGTTTATATTCTGCAGCTATACTGTTCACCTCTGAAGGAAACCCTGCAGTACCCTCCTTTTGGAGAGAACAGTTGACCAAGCTCAACAGAGGCCCCTTAAAGTGTTTTTTTGCCTCAAAAGCTGGAGAGCAGAGAAAGGAAAGGATTAGGGCTTGTTACACTCCTCTGAACCAGCTGCTGCTATGTGGAGGAAATACAGTGGAGCATGTGCAATGGGCTGTCCTGAAAGAATCCAGGACATTGTAACTAAAGAAAAATTAATTCTCCTGCTCAAAGACAAGCTTGTAGGGCACTCTTTGGTTTGAGCTGGCATAAGTGTATTCCTACCAGACCAAAAGATTTGCTAAACTTGAAAAATACTGCAAAAATATCTTGGATTATATCCTCAGGCCTAGATAACATCTGTGTGTGTAACACCAGAATGTGAAGAAAATGGCTTTTTTTTTTTCCTTTTAAGAAAATTTTCTTGTTCTGAAAAAAAAAAATTTCTCAACTTTGGGAAGGTCAAATGCCTTGCTGAGAAGCACCAGACCAAAAGATTTGCTAAACTTGAAAAATACTGCAAAAATATCTTGGATTATATCCTCAGGCCTAGATAACATCTGTGTGTGTAACACCAGAATGTGAAGAAAATGGCTTTTTTTTTTTCCTTTTAAGAAAATTTTCTTGTTCTGAAAAAAAAAAATTTCTCAACTTTGGGAAGGTCAAATGCCTTGCTGAGAAGCTCGGGAAAAGCAGTGGCGGTTCTTGTCATCAGAGAGCTGTATTATATTCTTGGCCTTTCAATCTCTTGCCTCTACTTGCAGTTTAAAAATACATACATTTCACAAGTGTGTGTCCCCATGTACACCATAAATATTTCCTACAGTTGGGAACTGCTGGCTCTGAATTTACTTGGTATGTTACTTGCATACTATATCACCCCACCCTTACTATAAAGCCTTTTAATTGTGTTTTCTTTTTATAGGTGCAGTTAAAAATCAGTAAAGTGGGAAATCCTGTTTCTGTGCTATCTAGCCCTTTCTCATAAATATCAAAATTACAGCTAACTCCGTGGCTTACATAATTTTGCAAAATAATTTAGCACCAAGCACTGGAACTCACAGAAGCTGCTTGTAAGCTCTCTCCTGGTAGGTCTGGTTGGAGACGTAGGTGATGTACACAGAGAAGTGGTTAACTGTATGCTGGTAGACAATATCGCACACATCCGAGATCACAATATTCTCCTCCACCCGCTGCTCGAGGTCCAACAGGAAGCTAGATGAGAAACCCAGCGCTCATATTAATTGTGACCTGTCTGTCCCAGGTAGTTCCCAGAAGAAGCCCTTGGGGTTCAAAGCAATGAATGTCTCCACAGGCTCTTTGAAAAGACAGTGGGTAACAGACTGCCACTAGTCAGTTCCTCCATCCCTCTACAAATGAGGTTAGCTAAAGTGATGCCATTCAGCTGGACAAAAATCCAGCAGCAGTTGTCTTACCGCTCACTAACAGCCATGACATCCAGGACATTGGAGAAGAGGATGTGTGCCTCAGACTGGTGTAAGATCTTTTTCAGACGTTCGTTCTCCATGAAGTGGGACACCAGCAGATTCAGACTCTTGTAATACGAGGCTTCGGAAGTAACCAGCTCAAACATGGCCTGGGGGACAATCCCAAAGAAGGATATCAGCAGGTACCTTCTAATTTTATAGAGGCACACATAATGCTAAAGAGAACATCTGTGCTGCACACAGTCATGGACCTTGCACCCACCCTCCAGGCCCAGAGCATGGGGAGAGGTAAGCATGCAATGGTGTTTGCCATGTGTTACACAGGATAGTGACTTGAATGGGGAAGATTTCCTCCCTCAACCATCAGCCCTGGCTCCTTCTGTCTCTCTCCTAAGTTGTTCGAACCACATTTCCTTCCACTGAATCTCTCCAGCAGAATTATCTCCTTTTCTCATTATATATAAGCAGTCTGATTTTGTGCATGTGCACACATAAGAGCAGCACACATAAGAGCACTTCATGGGCTCCCTCCTTCCTTCCTGGTGTCACTCAGTCTTGACCTGAGGCTGCTCCAGGCACCAGCCCCCTCTGTGCCCACTTGTCACAGCCCTGCACTTTCATCTCCTTTTCGGGGAGCTCCCTTTGGCAGCCCCCATACACCCTCCAACACCCTGCTGATCATGACAGCGCTGGCTTCTTGCTCTGCTTGTTGTGGCTTATTGTGCTACCCAGGAGGGTGTCCTTGCACCATCTACACTCTTGTTTTAGAAAAGCCATGGTGTACGGGCTGGGATGTACAGCAAACTGCAGACCCAGTGTACAACATGTGCTCCTTGGGGCAGAGCTAATACAAATACACAGCTGTGGTGCTCCAGGCACCTGTGTCTTCCCTGACCCAAAGGAAATACAGCTGTTACTGTCCAAGTGAGGCTCCCTGGTCAACCCTGGCCATACACTTTTCTGACCCAATTCACCAAGGACTGGGACAAGACACAGTAGCCTCTAACTACTACCGTAAGTTGTAAATAATCTCCGTATTTCAGTCCTTGCTTCTCCTGTTAGAAGAGAGAACTCTGGAGCAAAACCTGGCTTCTTTAGGCCAGGGATGTGGTCTGGGGAAGCAGAAAGACAAATCGATGGTTTGGTTCAGAGGTAAAAAACAATTTAATGAGACAAGGATATAAAGCCGCCTGCCTACATCAGGTGCCGCAGGGACAGTCCGCTATTACCACACAGAGCTCCCTTACTCTCCAGGCAAGTCTTTGTTGTCTTTGTTCAGAGGTAGATAGAAAAGGTGATTATTTACACAGATACTGAATCCATTAGTTGAAGTAAGATTAACTGAAGGTTCTCACAAGGGCTTCAATACAATGAAAAATCCTTCAGACATCTCTTGATGAAGGTGCATCTTGGGCTCCTCATCCTGGGGCTGCCCCAAGCTGCCACTACTGAAAGAGGAACCTTTTGGTAGCTCAGTGAAAGTCTCGCTTCCCTGAACCGAAACCTGCTTTGACCCTTGAGCCCAAGCTCCCCTACTGCCCACAGCTCCTCTGCTGCACCCTGGTGAGGGTGGGAGCTGGCCAGGCAGTGCGGGTGCAAGTCCCTGAGCTCTGCCGGCTCTCAGAGGCTACAGGGGCCCAGCTAGAGTTGAGGAGATCCACTGGAGCAGTATTTTTTGTGCTGTGGATATGGAAAAATATCTTCCAAATTAGCTGGGGGTCTGTCTTGTGGCTTGGTTGTTCTTTTTTTGGGTTGTGGCGTTTTTTTGTTTTTTTTCTTTTTGAAGAAATGATTTTAAATTCTCCGCTGATCAGTTTTTGGCCTTTTCCTGGAAATATCCTTATGCATCACAGAAGAACCTGAGGTACAGAGACCTGGGTTATATTCCTGACTGCAGTCCAAGATCTGGGAGGATGGGCACAGCAAGGAGGGGCCATTACTCAATCCAGAGCTGCTAAAATATCAGTTGAAGTGACATTTCAGCTCCTTGTAGGATTGGTAGCCTAGGAAATATTCCCAGAGGGCAGTTAAGTCAAACAGGTGGTCCTTTCCTGCACCAGAGAAGGAAACTGTGCCTGCACAGCCCCCAGAAGGGAGACAGAGCAAAGGGTGTGGGTAGAAGTGAATGTACTTGGTCAGTGTATGTGGAACAGCTGGTGTTTAAGGAAAAAGAGGATGTTTTTTTTTTTTCCAAAGCCAGATTCCCAATGAGAAAAGTGGAGGAGTATCAGCTCAGCTTCTTCCAACAGCTTCACCAGGGCAGCTGGTGAACCTGAGAGAGAACCTCTCTCTCTCCCTCTGCATGACTAGCTAGGTCCTAAATGCACCTCTTACAGCTTTAACTGTACCTTTTTATTTGATAAATGAGAGGAGAAGTGGAAATAGGTAAAGATACAACAAAGAGTAAGACAGGACGTGCTGGGACAGCCTGTCCCTTCCAGATATCCTGGGGATCACTACCACCAGTCATTTTGCACTGCAGCTTTCCAGACACTCCAAGCCAGGACTTTTTTTCTGCCAGGTTTGATTGCAGGATGGCCATGAGAGCCAAGATCAAGACCTGCCATTCTACCACAGCCTTTAAACCCTCAGACAACTTGCTTCATCTAGAAGGGTGCTTCCTGATCTGCAGAAGCCCCTCTGCCTATGTTTGGAGAAATTAATTTGTGTGTGTTTGCTGTTCACCATAGTGGGGGGTGCTAGACCTGCATGGGCATGTGCATAGTGCAAGCCATACTAAAGATATAATGAAATCCATAGTGAAAATATCAATATGCACTGAGTTCTGATTTAAAGGAGATGCTAGGAAAGTAAAGAACATGTTGTAAAGAACATCTCCACTGATTGGGACAAGCTTCTGGAAGCATTCACAGCATGTGCAAGGCACAAGTTTCTTAATTTACTTTGGAGATCCAGCTGGTCGCAGACCCAAAGTACCTACTCCAAGCAGCCCAGACTGCTGTTTCCCTTTTGAATGGCAAGTATGAGCTGCAAACCTCCTAAACTGGCACCAAACATCCAACCATGTGATGCAATGATGTGACCTCTCTGGAATAACTGAACTTTGCTAGCTCTAAACAGTCACTAGAAAAAAGAGCATGAGCTTCTGGTCTCAGAATTGAAAAAATAACTAGAAAAAAAATTTGAACTAAATTTCAATTGATGTAATACTATCTTCCCCAGTGTACAAATAGTCTGAAACTATCTCTTGGAAACGTGACCAACACTGTTCCATCAGTCCTCTGGGTCATTAACTTCATGAAATCTCATAGTCACGTAAAAGCTATACTAATTGTTTTCATTGCTTATGTTTTGGCAGAGAGACTGAGAAAGGAAAAGAGAAGTGAAGCCTAAGGAAGAAGGAAATGTAGAAGATAAAAAAGGAGAAAAAATCAGAGTCACCAAAGACAAGAGTAAGTAATCCTACAGGCTAAATTCCTATTGAGATAATATGGTGGTTTATTGCATAGACTGGAAATATCTGTTCCCAATGGCCCTGCTTTTCATGTAAACCACCAGGTAAGAAGCGGGAATTCTGGTCTAGTCTAGGAGGGATGTTGTTCTGATCCGATGCCATGGCATTGGCTGTGACCAGCTCTCAGACCTGGTTGCCTTCACAGGACCGGTCTGACATCCACCTGCTAGAAGTGCAGTAAGTCCAGCACGAGAGCTCTGTGGAGGTTTGAAATCTAAGGTTTGCTCAAAGAAGGAAAGAAAATGAAATATTTTCTGGACATTTTTGTGAAAATGGAACAAGAGAGAAAGACTGCCTGTCAAATGCACTTTTCCACACAGAGGCCATGTCACCAGTGCACACACCCAGGTTCAAGTCCCTCTTTTGCTTGAGCAAAGAATATTTGCGGAGCAGCAGCTCTCTGATCTAAATTCACACCATGACACACTGTGCAGATTAGTCTGTCTCTGCCCCTTTTTCTAACACCAGTGACCTGAATCCAAATAATCCCTGGCAAAAACTTTATCAAAGCTCATACATCTCAGAAAAAATGGTTCAGTTCCAAGATTGAGAATACTTTGCTGAACTATTTTTATTAGTAAATTGTTCTGGGTGAGTTCCACTCAGCTCGGAATCTCCTAAAAAACAGAAGATGAACATGGTGTAGGAAAATCAATACAGTTAGCAAGCAGAAAAGGATAAAATGAAGGAACTATACAGTAAATACAACAAGGACAAACTGAAAGGTAAAGAACTGAACTGGGAAAGAGGAATAAACCGGAGCCGCTCCACAAAAAGGCCATACCAGTATCTAATTTAAGGTTCATGCTGAAAGAAGTTTCACTGATTAAATGTTGTTTCTTCTAATCTCTGGATCACTACCTCTTCAGAGCCTAGTACCTTGGTGAAAGAATTTGTTTCAACCTAAATCACATATAATACAGGGAGTGTGTTTCTCTCTAGTCACTTGTTCCTCCTGGTACATACATGCTGCCTGTCATTTCCTCCACATTGACCCCATGTCAGAACCCAAACAACATTTCTTTTGGCTTGTTCTTCTTGCATCATTACATTTTCTAGATAGCTAAAAGAAAGCCCTTGGTGATTTATGTTTTGCTGTTTGATGCTCAACAGATGTCTGGATAATTAAAACTACCCTAGCAATGACTTAGTCATTTCTGATAATTATTCCAGTAGCACATAATTTTCGTATTTCCCTGACCTCTGTGGTTTGTAACATGTCTTTTGCTTTTTCTTTTGTTCTTCCTTTTTCTGCATTTGCACCCACATTTTTTGTGACACTTCCAGTTGTTTTACATCTTGCTACTCTCACGTTCACTTCAGATGAAAAAGACTGGTGTGGCAAAGGCCATCGTGGTCTGAATTCTGTTTGAGTTCCTGGGCTAATGGGTCATGCTGCAACATTTTTTTGCTGAAATTGCTGGAGGGTGGATGTGGTTTTTATGTTTTTTGGTGGTGGTTTTTTTTTTTCCTTCCTGAAACTCCATTTTCTGGCTCATTTTTTCCAATGGGGACAATGACAAATTGCCTTCCATGACACTTTTCAAACATCCATTGCTCTTCCAGTCAAGTTTCTTGTTTTGATGCTTGAAAAACACCTGTGTCTTGGTTTTTACCTTGTATTGATAACCTGCTTAGTCATTTTCCATCATCGCCAATAACAAAGACCAGATTCCTCTTCTTGTTCTTGTCTCTTTCATTTTGCAGATTACTGCAGATGAGCAACTTTTTTTCTGACTGTTTAAGCCCTGCTCCATCACAGCTATGGTGGTGTTCCCTTTCTCAGCTGTGAACAGGGGTGTTTGCTTCAACTTTCTTTCCGTTTGTGTACTGGTATTCCTCCCTGTGGTCTAAATAATACTCTTGTTCTACCTTTCCTGACTGAAAAGCTGCAAGCTCTTCTAGTCCCTGTGTTTACCAAAGCTTTGAAGATAAAATGGGTCATAAAGGTACGATTTTGTCCTTATGACATTTACTCCAGAACTTCTGCTGCTCTGTACTTCAGGTAAATTCCTCCAATTCTCCTTCATGAAGCTGAACAATTTACATCCACCTTAATCAAGCCCTTATGTACAACTCACACTCCCAATTGATATCCAATGTGAGTACAGTTCCAGCACTGCAGGAGCAAGCAGTGCTTGCTTATAGCAAGGCTGAATTCAACATCATCTCTTTAATTGCCTCAGTGATTTCTCCAGCCCTCCTTGTTTTCTGTCCTTGACTCTCCTCACAAAGCAAATTCTCCACTTTATCTATTCAATGTTCAGCCAATTTCACAGCTTTCTGGCTTTGAGCAATTTTATAATCTCTTACTGTGCTAATCCCAGAACAAACAGGAAGAAAATTTCAGCTCTGATAAACTAACATCAGGGGAAAGCACAGCACTTCTTTAAGGCAGCACTGTCCCATCCCCATCTGCTCTATTTCTCTTGTTATTTAAGCAGAGAGAAGAAAATTCAGCACACTTAATGTTGGGGTTTAGCAGCACAGAGATTTTTTTCCTTAAAACACCTACAGGTAATGAACGTAACTCAACAGAAATGGCAGGTTTTGAAATCTATAATGCAAACTTCTAAGCAAATGTTTCTCTGTAAAAGACTCTTCATTTTGAAGCAGAAAGAAAAAGAAAAGCTTGTAATTTTTCAGATGACAGATTGTGTTTGTAATGCTGGCAGTTAAAAGTACGGTGTTTTGCCAGGTAAACAGAACAAATCCGATATGGAAATAACCAGTGCAGAAGAAGAACACGGAAAAGCAAAAATCATTTTAGTCACCTTCAGCCATAACCCTGACACACTAACAGACTGTGCTTGCCAGCCCAAGCTACCCTGTAGAAACACCGGTCCCTTCCACTAAGGGTGTAAGCCCTGCCCATCACACCCCTGCAGTTCACAAGATGAGCCTTTCCAGTGTAACAGTGAAGTTACAGCCTTGGCCAGAACTAGGGTGGCACTACATACACAAGGGATTCATAAATGTTGATTGTGCAAATCCAAGTAAACTTAGGGGGAACTGCTCACACCCTGAGATGTTCTTCAGCACTTTGGGTACAATCTCATGAGCCAGGGCTGAACAGATACACTGCCATAACGGTCTCACCAGAAGCAATCCTGGTGCAGGAACATAGTAGGACTCATAGGATCGAGCCTTTGAAGGCCCATTGCTTGTATTACAACACACACCACACACTAAACAAGGCTTGTTCATCTCCACGGCTGGCTACAAATGAAGTGCTATGCATTGACAAAGAGCACTCACGCTCCCCATGCTATCCAAAATAGCAACCAGTTGTAAATTGTTATGTGACTGATGTTTTCATTAATTGCGGCAGCTACCTCCACCTACTCCTTTCATTGTTTGATGCAGCCCTGTAAATTAACAGCGTAGGACTCTTAAACAGTGATGTCACTGCACTGTATGGCTAAAATCCAAATATACCTGTCATTATTTTTTACTGTTTTGCATAAGACTCCAAGTAACAACATTTAAAAATAAGGAAGCTTATCAATATCCATCTCTTCCCTTTCCGTTAATGCCATCATATTTAAAACAGATTACAGTTAACGGTTGAATTCTTCTAAGATTTCTGGTGGAAAGTATGTATCCCGCTAGTAACTACAGAAGAGGATTAATGTGCACTGGGAACCAAAACTCTATTGCAAGAGCCTCTTCATTATCCCTCCCTTCCTTTGTAAATTGTTCCTAACACTGAATTAGAAAAGGGAAAAGAAGTTCTTTTTTTGCTACAGAAATGTCCAGCAGCAATAGCATAGAGAACAACATCTGTAGTTTCAAAAAAAGAGTGAGTGGTGCTAACCAGTGCAACACAAAAAAGTACTCAGCAGGGCAAGGCTTGTCTGTGACTGCTATGAAGCTTTTAATTTTTAAATCTTGATCATTTGACTTAATTCACTCTCACTCTTTTAAGCAGCAACCCAGTTAAGAAACACTCCACCTTCCCCCATTACCTCCTGCAGCTTGATCTCATCTGGCTGGAGGATGCTGAGGACCCCGCTGCTCCGGATCTCAGGAAGATCCTGCCATAAGTTGAACCTGGAGTTGGAGTTCCTCAGCAAACTGATTTGTGGTGGAGCTTTGCTTTCAGTTGTACTTGTAGGTTCTGCTTCAGATGGGGTTTCCTCACTGGGTGAACTCTCCTCAGGGTCTGTCTGTGAATCCTGCAGTCGTCTGGTTTCAATCTCCTGACGTGTAGATTTATCTCGATACTCCTGATACAAGAGCCCTAGGAGGCAACATTAACAGGTCTGAAAGGTTACAGCTGAACAACAGAGTAGAAATGTATTCTGGGAAAGGATATTTGTTTTGCATTAGTTCACCTCAGCAGAGGTGAGAGAGATCCCTTCCATGCTGAGCGAAAAAGCCAATTATGGCATTCCTATTTCAGCCAGAAGTGGAAACTATAAATGGAAGGCCATTTCTAAATCTAAAGTGTTGTCAACAATCTGCTCTCACAAAACATTTAGTAACACAGTCAGATGAATCCATGATCAATCGGAAGACGTAAAAGAAGCAGTTTGTATTTTCCAGGCTTTTAAATGTTTCTTTTAAACCTTGATTTTCTCTGCAATATTATTATGTTACAAGTCATATAGATTGATAGGTATGTGTAAGCGTGTGTCTGGAAAAGTAATACTGCATACATTGAAACTACTTTAAAGGAGCAATTTGATGGCCATGAAAATCCCTAAGGAGGAAACACTGAGCTGCTCTTAAGGCATTGGACAGGTGAAGCATTGGGACAACAAGCTCCAGTTAGTTACTAGTTTGTTTTGGTATTGACTTAGTGGTTAGCCTTAGACGTGTTGTTTAATTTCCTTCTGTCTTCCTTCTCAGTTTCTATGATGATTGAAGGTACAAAATTAACATTCAAAAGGTACCTGAATGCCATAGCACTAAGGAAAAGACTCTCAATTCATACCATCTTGCGGCGCATCGATCACATGAGGTGTCTTCTGAGTTTCAATTACTAAATTCTGGAGCAGATGAAATTGCACAGAATTTGCCCCCACCCTTGATTTCAACTGACAGCACAAAAAGGGTAGGAATCCTGAAATTCCTTGGCCATCTTCAGAAGATCCTTTGTCTCTCCTAGGGCTTTCTAACTATCCCATTTCTCTTTCTAAGGCATCTGTAGGACCCAGAATATTAATTGTTTGAATATAAAATGTAATTCAGAAGATAGGAAAAGAGGAGAGCATGAGCCTGCTCTGAGTCACTCTCCTCACTTACTCAAATTGAAGGAGCACAATTTACATTACCTCCCTTGGTTTATACTTGAATTGCAAAGTGTAACATGAATGAATAAAGAGAAAAGTCCTTGATGTTAAAAAAAAACCTACATAATTTATTTTGTCTGAATCATTAGGGGTTAAAATCTATCTGGTCACATGCATTCATGATATTGGATCTCAGAAGCAGATTCTGTGTGTAATAAGGTGAGAGACAACTGGGTCAGGAGTTTGCTTAGGGAGGGCAGAAACATAGATGTTACTGCCTATTAAATCTCTGGGCCAGTTTTCATGAGTCTCTGTACCAGTCACTGTTATAACTATATCAGAAATATGCTGGGGAAAAGCGCAGGCACAAGGACAGCATTACCGCAGTCTGCGAGTGTACCCTGTTATCTGTTCTCCCTGGAAAGACGTTAAACACTGGATTAAAATAGCAATAAGGGTAGCTGTGCCTAGGAAACCATACAGTCTTCTGTTAGCTTCCTACACAATAACTGAAGACAGAAGACTTCCCCTGAAGTTTTGCATACTGCTGCTACTTATATAATTTATCTCTGCATCAACTGGGCTTACATGGCTTTCCTAAGCATTTCTGCCTGTTATTCAGCATCAGTGAGGGTGCTGAGGATGTAGTGGGGTGGAAAGGCTCTTTCAAGAATGGAGCGGAGAGCCTGCTAAATCAGAGCTGCTTTCAGTGGTACTGATCTGTAAGCTCAGCCTGTGCTTGAAGGCTCTGGTGCGGTAGGGCACTGGGTACTTTCTGCTCCACCGAACTGCGCACCAGAGAGCAGGACAGGCTGGGAAGTAACACCCTGCAGCAGTATGGGCAGTGCTTGATTCAAGGGAAAACATGCTGGGAAACTGAAGCATAATCTATCTATTTTACTCATATTGGAGATTATTATACTTGCAGTTTCTGATCGTACAGCCATGTTGTGCTGGTGGGTCTGCCCTGCAAATCAGAGGCAGTTAAGGATATTTTGTGTAAGGGGGATTTAGTGTCCCTTGTGCAGATCTGGGGAGCAGCCCTTTAAAAAGATCCTCAAGACAAATTTCCCCCTTGCTTTTAAGGAAATAAAATCCAGATAATGAAACTTGATTTCGTTTCCAGGTTCCCTGTCCGACCAACCAAACAGGTAAGACCTATGGAACCTTCAGGGGCAGGCAAAAGCAAATATGGACATGGGGAGATCTGATTGACTAAAGGCATCTACCACCAGAACTCATTCAGAACTGACAGCAAGGTAACTCATTTTAAGGAGGGAGCTGAAGAGAGACTGGCTGAAGCTCTACCACAGACAGCAATATGGGGAGGAAGCAGAAAGGTGATACCAGAAGAAAGACAAAAGACAGGTAGATGTTTAGGCAGAAGAAGGGTAGGAAGAAACAAAGAGGGTTGTGGTAGCAAGGATAAAAGATATCCTTGCTATCTTGGTGTAAAAGGTCCATCCAAATGTCAGTAATGAGGTTACAATGGGTACAGCAAAGGCTTAGATGAGAGAGAGAGGGAGAGAAGCCATGCAAAAGCCTACTCTAGATGAAGCAGGAGATGGTCACAGCACAGAACGGGTGGCGTAACAGATGCAAGGCCAGGGAACAGGGTTCTGACATGTTGAAAGGAGAGCAATACATCTGGGAACTGACTGTGTAGAAAGAAGCTGAGATCAGTAGTTGAATGTGACCCAGAAGATATGACAATTTAGTAAATGCTGGCATTTAGTAAGTGAACAAGTACAAAATGTCAGAGGGCTGTACGAGCTCCATTCATTGCTTAATGTCCCAGCTGTCCCTACCGTAACCTGGCTACAGGTTAACCATGTGGTCAGAGCACTTGGTGTCGCCTGTTGACTTAAATGGTTAAGGCTGATCTTCCTAAGGGGTGTTTACATAGTTTGTATAGTACATAACAGACTTTTCCCTTTGAGTTTATTCTATTTAATTTTGCTGTCACGGTCTCCCTTCCCAGCTCTCTCAAAAACTGGGAAGGGAATTGAAAAACTAGTTACTAATTGTGGAAAATGCTCGCCTTAAGAGAGTTCGCAGTGCTCTTAAAGTAAACGTTATTACATTGAAAGCTATGTAAAATCTCAGGAGGTCCAGAGACATTTTCTCTGAAATTCTCTGCTCCAGTTTCAGGCAAAAAGTCCATTAATGCTTCAAAGGCAGGAGGGAGGGAAAGGAGCGAGTGTGCTCCAGCCATTTGAAATGACCTCTCTGTTGGGGATTAGCATAGCATCTCCGGTTGTCAAAACCCTGTCTCCTCTGTTAAGGTGCAACAGACCAATCTGCAGTTACACTGACGTGTGCAGAGCTATCGCATGGCTTCCCTCTGGTATACAGCACATAAAAATATATATGAATATAGCAACTGGGTTGCTTTGAAGTCCTGCTGGTTTTAGTATTTTTATTATGCCTCTTAGCACAGTCCCAGTAAACTGACAATGTATTGACACATCTGCCTTGAGAGATCAGTACCTACACAGCCAAAAGCAAGTAACAGATTTGGCAACATCCATGCAAATTGTTCACCACTTTCCTCCAGAAGGCCCCGAACTCGGCTGTTTTGTCTGATAGACGCTGGCAGGCTGCTGGTTTCACACCAGCCTCCTTCCCCAGCACTGTCCCAGTGGCACCAAGCACTCCAAGAGTCAGCCCTGCCTGCCACAATCTTAGACCAAACTGCAGCTGCTCTTCTCTCCCAGAGACAGCATGAGAAACCAGCGTTCCTGCCAGGGAGGTTTGCCTTGCTGCTCATGAGAGTTATCTATCTGATTTTCCCATGCAAAGTGCTACATTCCTGCCCTCTAGATTCAAGTATCTTGCAGTTTCATTTCCTAAAATTGAACAGAACTGTTTAAAAATGAAGCTTCTGTATTCCCACCGTAAAACCTGCTTCAGGATGGGGGTTAATTTTGCAGTTGCCCAAATCTCTCTGAGGAATGTCACAATTCAGATGTGGGAAACCAAGGAACAAGCTGTGAAGGTCCTCTCCGCATCCCACCAAAAAAAAAAACAATTCAAAAATACCACAAGAGCAAAAGCGTAACAGTCCTCTCCTCCACAGCCACCCAGATAACCTCAACTCTGCCTTTACAAAGATACCACAAATGATAAAATAACTTACTCCTCCATTGCAAATGCTATGCCAGTGGCCGTTACAAATACACACTGACCCTGGTGCATACGGCTAATGCCCAACAGGATAACTGACCCAGCACTTTAGTCTTATGTCTTTTTGAGTATGCAAAATCAGATTTCAGCAGAAAGTTGGCTGTAGCCTTAACGATTAACTGCTTTGTAATTACAAGAAGTAATTGTTATTTATGAATGGAGGTAAAGCTGCTCAGCAACAGCATTAGATCTGCCAGGCAGCATGCAAACCTGATGCCCCTAAAGACAGCAAAAATCCACCTCTAAGGCCATGGTTATTATGTTTTACACCAACAGCGAGAGGTTTTCATAGCAAGGACAGAGAGTGGGGTTCCCGCAACACAACCGCCTTACGCCTGCCTGAGGCTCCCTCCTGCCATGTACCGCTTGGGTTTAGATCTGGGTTTCATTCGCTAAACGCTACTGTTTTGGGGGTTTAGGGGGAGGGAGACGGCGGCT